CTGCAAAGATGTTCCCCCCACCACCACTACACCAGGTGCCCATGTGGGTCCCACACTGCACTGTGCACCTGCCCCCCCACCCCCCATATTACTGCAGTGTGTACCATGCAGCCCTTGCCTCACCATCAGCATGCTGCGCTGCGCTGCACCGCCTCCCTGAGGTGGGCACAGAATCTGGAAGCCAGAGGAGGGAGGGGGAGTGCAAAGAATCTGGCTGCTATTGCAGCCAGAGCAATAGTGGGAATCACAGCTGGGCAGGATCTCTCAACCCTTTCAGTTGGACAGCCCTGGGCGAGATGATCCTAAACAGTCTGTTGTGGCAGGCAAAATTACTGTAAAGTCAGGTGACTGCAGAAATGAGCCCTAGGCCATCCACAGGTCAGAGATTCTGAGCTATGTAAGCATTAGATATTGACCCTGCCTCCACCAGAGTCAGAAAAATCTTGTTCACTTCATTGGTGAAATATCAGACCCTTACACTGGGCTCATCACCACAGCACCTGCTTGGCTTGCAGGGAAATAGGCAGGTAATCTAGGTAAAGATATTATGCAATATTTAATCCTCATTGAGTAAAAAATTAAGGATTAGTACTCTGGGAGCTTTCAAGGCTAAAAGCAGGAGCTCTGTACCACTAAAAAAGGGAGCCTCTCAGCTTCCCAAGGGGATACACAGAATTTGTTTCAAGCTTTGGGAAGTCCTGTGATATCAGTCCTTAAATTAATGGCATCTAAAAGTGCACAACAGCTAATTTTGCTTAGTTAGAGATTTATAATAGGACGTGTTCAGCCCTCTATAATGGATTCATAATATCTATGCATTTGATCTATAGATGAAGGGCACGCCAGTGGGGATCAAGACTTCCAACCTTGATTTATATATAAAGAGGCAGAGGTTTAAAGTATTTTATCCTCTTAGGAAGTCTACTGAAATCCAGAACCCTTTTAAAAAAATTGTTTCTATAAGACTCTTATTAGCGTCCAAGATTAAGGATAACAAAAAGTCCTTTTTCAAATATATTGGGAGGATGAAGAAGGCGCCGGGTAATGTGGGACCCCTGCAGGATACGCTGGG